ACACACACCTCTGTCCTCCACACCAAGAAATGTCTTTGGCCCATTTTAATCATGGAGCCTTGTTACTGTTTCCAAAGGCACGTGCTTACTTCCAGGTTGTTTTGCCCTTCTTATCATGTCCTCAGATGTGTGCCAACACACAGATTTATAGCTAAGTTTTGTTTGGTCTATTTGGACAACTGTAGTGGTTGGCATTGGAGGATGTGGTTGTTTATCCTAAGGGGCCATTATGCACTTCAAATTTCATTTACAGTATTATTTCAAGGTTGGTTATGATATGATTGACAGCATTAATCTGCCTTTTGCAAGGCATTGCATATGATTGGGTTTACAGCAGAAAAGATTTTTGACTATTCAGTCTTTTAATGAAGAGATGAAACATTGATGTCTGAAAGAACTCGTTCTGTTTGTTTAGGGTCCACAATGCTGATTATTACATGCAAGAGGCTAAGAAGCTGAAGCACAAAGCTGATGCACTGGTAGGTTTCCTTCCTCTCTTTGCTTTGCTCCCAATAAGGTATTATGCTTTGAAAGAAAACAAAGAAGGCATTTTACAAACAATTCAAACTTTCAATAGCATAGCCCAAGCTTGTTTTTCAATGCATTGTTGCTCTGACATAGGGAGATTGGAGATTAATTCTTTGGCACCCTAATTCCTAAAGTTCTTTGAGCTGTGTTGTCCTGTCATTACGTATTTGTTTTCCCACTGTTCTTCCCCTTGCCTCAACTTCAGAAGCTCAATGGCATATATACCCTTGTCATTATCTTTAAAGTGAATTTGAAATGACTTTTGAAACTTCCATAGAGATGATGGGAGCTCCAATTGGGTCCAATAAACCAGAATTGCTGTGGGGCAGGGGAGGGTTGTTGAGAGCTGGCTACATGGCCTCAAAAATTGGCTTTAGGAAACTTGGGTCTATAGAAAAAACTCAGATTCTTGCTGCATTTGATAACATGTTCCCAGAGCGAAGCCCACAGCCAGGCTGTGACCTGGAGCAGTGAAAGGAAGTGTCATCATTTGGATTTCCCAAGACACTTGGCCTAGCTGCCTACAAGGGTTTTGGCTAATTAAACCACTGGAGAGTTCAATGCATTGAGTTGTTTGACTTGATCCTCCCAACAGTGGGTCTCCACACATTACAATCACTTGTGAAACTTTAAAATTGCCCAGATGCCCAGGCCAACACAGAATAGTGAAACAAGAATTTCTGGAACTGGGACCCATGCATAGGTATCAAATCTCCCTGGGTGATTCCCAAGTGCAACCAAGATCGAGACCCACTGTCCTAGAGAAGTCCCTAAATTCAGGTTTCTCACCTTTGACTAAACCCAAGAACAATTTGAGGTATCAGTTCAACACCATTATGTTAAAAAACAGCATCCTCCATCTCTGCATTGTGTCCAACCAGGACTCAGCTGTCCCATGGTGTTTGACACTGGGAAGGCTGTGATGGAATACTGCAAAAGTCTTTGCCCTATGACTAGTGTGTGGCCATTATCAGATGCCCATGCCCTTGCATCTGTCACTTCCCTATTTTCTGTCATTTTCCCCTTGTAGTCCAAATTGCTCAGCTCTTGTGTGCAGCTAACCTTTCCATGATGTGAATTGTCACTTGGAAACAATTTTCCCCTACTCCTGCAGACAAAATTGACAAGGCATGCTAAGCTGGGTGCCAGTTCCAATGGAGATGCCAGCAACACTGTGCCTGTGACCACTGTATGGGTGTCAAGAGATTTGAAAGGCACTGGGTGGCAGTGCTGCTGGCTCAAAGACCAAAGGTCCTCTCTAAATGTCTTCATCTCCACAGCACTGCAGAGGTGCTCTGGAGTTTGTCCTCTGTCAAATCTGGGTGAGGGAGCCTGTAAACGTTCTTTTGACAAGCTGTTACATAAGTTGATGAAGACTGGGATGCACATATGAGACCATATAGGTGAAATGTTTGAAGAACTGAGAAAAACCAGAGCCACAGAGATGGCATACATATGATTAAGAGCTAGCATCACTCTACCGGCTAGGGTTGTGTTTATGTGTTCCCCCAAATCACTTTTGATCTAATCTACTCATGCATTCTCAATTGGGGAGGGGGTCAAAATTGGTTCTTGGGGTGGGGTAAAAAAGTCTTAGATGTTGCAGCAGGTGTGACCCTCCAAAGGGCCGCAGTACATAAAGAAATAATCAGTATATTGTTGGCATTAATATTTCACTGGGGGTGTGTGAAAAATTCTAAAAAATCTCCTTGGTGGGGAGGTAATGATAATTTTAAAAGGTTGAGAAAAAATCAGAGGAATGATATTTTTGCTATGCTCATGTTTATGCTAGTGCTAGAAGCACTCATAGTTCATGCCCCTCATTTTTTGAATGTGGAAACTGACGCCCAAGGAAAGGGCATGACTTGGCCATTAATTGGCACTATGGCCATGTAATTTTCTTTGGATTTAAGTTTATGCTCCTTTTGGAGAAAGAGAGGTTTAGGCTAGATAATCTTTAAGGTTCGTTTCAAATGTGAGGTTTGTGAATGAAAAGTCACTGTCCAAAATTGGTATGTAAAGATTAATTTACAAATGGGAGAGCCAATTGGAGCTAGATGACCTAAAGAAATTACCTTGTAAGGCAAAAGAGAAAGGAGATAGTCAGCATACACATACACAGTGATTTTCATAAAATCACTTTGAATTTGACTGAAACTGATCTTTCTCCACAAAAGCTTACAGAAAGGAAATCACAGTATGTCTTCAGTACCTAAAGACTAAGAACATTTATTGTAAAGAGAGTCATTTACAATGAGAGATTCTGCAGGTCCTGTAACTAATCATTTATAGTTGTACTTAATCCTTTGCTAGAGACAGCTACTCTGCCATTTTGAGAATTGAGACTTTCACAGTTGCATAGAAAATATTTTGATAAAAGGTATACAAGAAAATTAAAATTGCTAAATCTGCATTCTATTGGTTCTTTTACATAAAATACTGTCTGAGCGGAATTCTTACATTCAGCTATCAAACACTGAAAATGTTAAATCCTGTTATAAAATACTCACTATAAAAGTGTCATATATAATATTCATTACACATAAAAAAGAAATCAGTATGTCTAAGTCAGTTTAATCGTGACCATTATCAGGGCTAAAACCTTTTGCAATAAAATTTTACTAAACTAAAATATTTAGTAGTGCTATATTTTTTGGCTTTTTGACACACTGTTTCAAGTCATCATTTACTATGAAAGTGATACGATTGTTGTCAACAGTCACACTACAGCTTCACATTTTTCATGACAATAGCACCAATGTGTTTTCTCCTCCTGGGGGTGAGGTGAATGTGCTCACAAAGAGTTCCATAGCAAAGACTATCTGTGTTCTCTGGCCATGAGGCTTATCGAAAGCAGAGCTTAGTTGCCAACATTGTCTATAGGACACTGCAATGACAGGTTCGTTTAGTAAATTTTGTGAATAGAAACTAGTTGAGACATTGATTTTGATTCTGGCCCACAAAAAAGGTAATGATAACAACAATAATAACATCATAAACCACATATGATACCTTGGCTGCATTTTTCTCTTCTCAATCAACCTCTATGCCATAGCAATAGAACCTTAAACCAGTTGCTTCCTTGTTAATACCAATTCATAATTGTCCTCCCTTTCTAGCAGGGTTTCTCAGCCTGGGCACTACCAGCATCTTGGACTGGCTTCCCTCTTCACTAGGGGGGCTGTCCTTTGCTTTGCAAGACGTTCAGTAGCATCTCTGGCCTCTGCCCCCAAGAGGCCCTTTCCCCAGTGGTGACATCCCAAAGTGTTTTCAGACATTTCCAAGTGTCCCCTGGGGAAAGGGGGCAAAATTATCCGCAGTAAGTCACTCGTTGATATGACAAGTCATCTTCCTCTTTCAGTTCGAGAAGTTTGGCAAAGCCGTGAATTACGCTGATGCTGCCCTCTCCTTCACTGAATGTGGCAATGCCATGGAACGTGACCCTCTGGAAGCAAAGTCCCCATACACCATGTACTCCGAGACTGTGGAGCTCCTCAGGTGAATAGCCTTTCTGCAGTCATCTTCTTAAGTTCATTTCAGTCAGAATTAGAATCTGATGTGTTTTAAAATATTATCACTTCCACATATTAATTATTTTTCCAAGGCATCTTCTTCTTAGAAGTGATCATAATTAGTTTGTGCCATTTTATTAATCTCATAGAAAATTTGTAATTGATGGACACTGCTTTTATAAATTATCCCCTTCAGAGGATAAAATGGGAGTGCTAAAATTTGCAATATTCATAAAATTAAAATGGAAACATAGCGGGTGGAAGTGAAGTATAATCATTTCACCATTTGGCATCGAATTGTCTTTTCAAAGGTGCAGTTTTATAATTCAAAAAAAAAATAGTGGTGCTCTCAGGATTTCTATTACAAACCATGTTCTCTAAGAATTTCTATCTTGGTTATTAAAAAGGGAGGGGGCACTGTTCCAATTCAGAGTCAGCATTTAAGGCCACAGGTGTGGAATAGACTTGCCACACATATGGGATAAGGGAAACAGACGAGGTGGTAGCAGGGCGTAGAGGTAGAGACAAGAGAATATGAGAGGGTATGTTAATTGCTCACATTATTGGTTTCATTTACATTTTAAATGAATTTTTTTGGCCTGTTGGTCTTGGTGGAGTAGAATTTGTGGTTTATCAAAGAATTCACAGAAGAAGAGGAAGTAGCAGTAGGAGAAGAAGAAATATTTCTTCTGGTGTTTTCTAGTGATTTACAGATATTTGTAAAATAATTTAATCCACCCCTGAATAGTGGATAAACACCATCGGTTAGCTAGATGGACTAAATAATCACTTTAGATTGACTGAGCCGTTCCTTACCTGATAGGCCCTGACATCCCCGTTTCCTCTGCCTCAGTTAATCAATATTGCCAGGACTGGTTTTTACTATCTTGCTTGTGTCTGCACAAACTGTTACAAATCTGAGGATATTTGTACCTAAAATTTCAGACAAACATGGGACAGATTTAGCATGCATATTTTCCCTGTGAAGCATTCTCAAAGATCAAAGAAGGGAACTATTTAAAAACCAACTCTGCTCACATAGAATCAGAAGTTTACTTAGAGCCACAAAAGTAGGGAGATTATGAGGAGAGCTCCAGCCTCGCCTGCCAGGCAATCGGCAATCTTTCTCTTAGTGCAGCTCTGAGAGGTGGGCCCCAGGGAAGAGTGTATAGTATTTCTTTTTGACTTATTTTATGTACTGTGGAAGCCACAACCACCACTCTGTAACTTTTAAGTGGAAATTGATTTCTTAGTCTCTCGTCAAGGCTACCTGCAATTTTCAAAGATGCAGACGATAAACATTCTGGCAAAAATTGTAAGGATTCAAAATTGAGAAGTAACAATGAAGAAACATGGAGACAATTTATGCTCTCTATTCATTCAAAAATGCAAATTAAAACAAGCCACTTTCAAATGCACAAGAAAATGTAATAATTGTAATACCTAGTATTTACCCAATTAAAAAAAAAAGAGCATGGTGAACTAAGTCTCTCCTATGCTGCTCCTGGAAGTGGAAGTTGATCATTGTGAATTGAGAGCGATTTGGCATTGTGTAGGAAAGCCATAAAAATGAGCATTCATATTTTTTGATTCAGCACTTCAGCTTCTGGAAATTTGAGTTTCCTTTACTGAAGAAAATAATTGTAAGAGTAGAACAAGTTATCTGTATAGTTTGGCATTATATGTAATAGCACATGGTTAGAAGTAAACCGAATAATCAATAATAGAAGAGTAATTAATTACCTCATAGTACACAGAGCAGAATACTTGTTGTTATTGAAATAAAACAATGATGGGGCCGGCCCGGTGGCGCACTGGAGAGTGCGCTGCTTGGGAGCGTGGCGGCGCTCCCGCTGAGGGTTCGGATCCCATGTGGAGACCGGTTCCTGCTCACTGGCTGAGCGTGGTGCAGGCGCAACACCGAGGGTTGCGATCCCGTTACTGGTCAGTAAAAAAGACAAAAAGGAAAAAAAAAAAACAATGATGAAGACTTTGCAGTTGCATGAAAATGTTTATAATATGATGTTAAAGTAAAATCAAGCTGTAGAATTATATGCACACTACAGTTATGACCATGAAAAGCATGTATATGCATCTTGAGTAAACTGAAAAGAAAATGAGATCATAGCTGTAACGGGGGGTGAGATTACGGGTGTTTTCCCTCTTTCTATATTTTTTTAATCAATTTTTTTCTTTAGTATTTACTCAGCCCCCATAAAAATATAAAGCAAAATAACAAATTTCATTTTATGGTAAAAATGCTGTGTGAATCATTAAGTAATATTTATTTTCATTAGAAAACGTTTCTTTCCCTTAACTGTTTACAAAAACATATTTCTTGTAAGCATGATTTATTTTTATTATATGATGTTTTACTCCCCATAGCAGTATATTTCAGTGGAACCTGGTAAAAGTCAATGGAGAATTTACGAGCATTCACTGTAAAGTCAATAATTTTAAACTTTATTTTGAGGTAACTAGATTCACATGCAGGTGTAACAATGAACACACCCAGTTTCCCCCAGTAGTAACATTTTGCATAACTCTAGTACATTATCACAACCCAGACATTGACACTGAGGCGGTCCAAGGACTTCATTCATATTTCACCAGGTTTTTTTTTCTTTCAGATTTCACCAGTTTTACATACAGTGTGTTTTCTATTTTTTATTTTTTATATTTTCTGTAAATTGCATGTGTGTGTATATATATATTTTTAAGATATAATGTTAAGTTGGAAATAAAATGAGTTAATGCAACTAGGTCTTCTGGTCCATTTAAGCAATTGAATCTCCACTATCAAGTCACTTCAAATGTGGTTGCAATTAGAGGGTGCCTGTAATGTGAACACCGTTTTTAGTAGTGCAATATTATGTTGAAGAGATTTTTATTACTCTCTCCCTGACAGTATGTTGGCTACAGAGAGAGAGAGAGAGAGCCCCATTTTATCCATTCAAGTAATTATAGTTGCTCTGAGCCCTGGGAATCTGCAATAGAAATGTATTTGTGAAAACAAGTGGGGCATCACAATGACTTGACATTTCAATGATCCAACTGTCAAAGAAAGTTAGATTGATCACATAATAAAAATCCCCTTGCTTAATATGGCAAAAACAGAAGAGACCCACATCAAGCGTGCAGTCCCTTGTTTGGAAAATATTCTCTGAACAGAGCTGTTGCAGTACCTGGAGAATGGGATAGCTAGAGTGCTGAGGAAGCCCGCAGTGTTGGGGGGTGAGCCTGGAATCCTCATGCCCTGGGGATGCTACTAAAAGTGAGGAGCCGGGTGTGCATGCAAGCGCAGCACAGCGGCCCTGCAGGCTCTTTAGTGACTTCTCATTAATGAGAGCGAGTCCGGGCTGCAGCACACTTTTGACTTCCTTCTGCCACACTGAACTCCATTCCTTATTCTACCACAAGTACCTGCAAAATTGCATTAAAGCTCAGACAATGATTTTATGCAATGAATTGATTTTCAAGAGTCTAAATGCCCAGAATGGAATGTTCTCAGCTAGAAGAAAAAAATGGGAACTACTCAACCTTTTATCACCCAAGTGTGGAACAGTAACAATTAAAGAGAACGGAAAGACAAAATATACAAGCATCATAAATTAAGAGCGCTTAGGCCTTCAAATGCTGTGAAATCGACCTTCCTTTTAAAAAGACAAAACCACTTTCTATAGGAATATATTCAAAACCTGAGCCATTAGAAATGACCTTTTAATTGTGTGATTGAGCTCTCTCATGCTCATGTCAGACACAGTTGTATATTATTTACCTCATCTGTCATAAACTGAAGTGAGAATGACATTCTTGTCCACCTCTCATTGAAAACCAATAATGTTGTTTAGGTAACGTATTCCCAGAAACAGTATTTTGCTGGTGTTTCTACACACAGCACACTAACAGCAATTCCACAGCATAGCCATAGAATGTGGGCTCATGATTTAGCTGACTTCTCCGGAGCTCCATTCTGTACGTCACATCAGTCCTCTCATGCTGTTTTGATCTTCATTTCATAGGTGTTTTCAGGAAAATATGCATTTGCCCACATGCGCTTGTCAGTCCTCCTGCCCAGAGCCAATATGGGCCGAACTTGCACAGGCGATCAGAATGCCAGCGATTTGGGGAATTTCTGAAGGTGATACAGACCCTAATTTAGCTTTTCCCTTCTCTTTAAAGGTATGCGATGAGGCTGAAGAACTTTGCAAGCCCCTTGGCTTCGGATGGGGACAAAAAGCTGGCAGTGTTATGGTGAGTCCCATGGAGGCCACAAGGAAAGCACTGAAATGTCACAGAAGGATTTGAAAACTCCCGATGAACTTAAGCTGCTTACCCCAGATCATTATTCTTGTTTTCCATTAAACTATTAAAGGATAACTAATGAATTTCTTTAGTCGCTGACCAAACGTTTACCCTCCTAATTTATACCCTTATCAAAATGGGATTTTAATGTTTCCCTGTTCCCTTTTTAAATTTTTAAAATTTACTTATGTTCCTCAATCTAATCATAGGAGAGTAACTGTACAATGTGAATCAGCTTTTTTTTTTTTTTTAACAGTCTATAGGGCTCATTAGTCACTGGTATTAACATAATCCTTTCCTCATCACCACAGCTACCGATGCTTATCACTTCTCTACCTGAGGATGTTTAAACTGAAGAAGGACCATGCTATGAAGTACTCCAGATCACTGATGGAATATTTTAAGGTAATCCTTCTTTTATATAATTTATAGGTACAGGGTTACAAAATCACAAATGAGACATGGCAAACATGTTGTTAAATGTCAAATTACACAAAGACAAGTTTGTTGCTGCCAAAGGCTTAACCTCTCTCATTCCTGCCGGCCATGGCCTTCCCACCCCTCCTTCGGGGCTCAGCAGAGCTTGCTGATTTGATTCCAGGGAGAGAAAGTGCAATAGTGAAATCCCTTGACTATTTTTTGGACTGACCAAATGGCCCTTGGCAGTCTCCTGGTTGCAGTCAGGGGAATGTTGCCATCTGCCCTGCCCTGATAGCTGTGGGTATGTCCAGTCTCTTGTTAAACAAGAGGTCAGCCCATGAATCTCTGAGCAGCAAGAGAAGTCACTGTAGCCACCCTGGCTTTGGGAGGACATTTACACCTCTAGAAGCCCTTTGGCCATGGGGAGTCTTGGAGTGCAGTGGTGGCAATGTAAGACAATTGATTATCTTAGTTACCAAAACAAACAAAGCCGTCATCTAAGAAACTGGAGGGTTTGTGTTTTTTTTTGTCCTTTTTTTTTTTTTTTTTGAGACCGGCCGCACCGCGACCAGCCAGTGAGCGCACTGGTCATCCCTATA